CTCTTATCCTCTCTGCCTGTCTTCCTCCCCAATCTCTCTGTTGGACCTGATGCACTCAAGCTGTACAGCTATGGTACCGACTGCCCTTGACCACCCTACTAGGCTGCCTCTCAGCCTCACTGGAAGCTCGACCGCACAAGACTGCAACAGTGCTTCCATGACATCCTCGAAGGCAAATTGTGTTATGACTTGGCTGCCGCTGGACGCTCCTACCGGCTGCAGTTCCCAATCTGGAACTTCCTGGACCGGTGGCGCTACCCTTACTTTCCGGCTGCAGCTGCCTTTTGACTTATGTGGAAGTTACCAGACTTTCATGGGACTGAGCTGCTGACTTCAAGTGGACTGATAGGGCTGACGAAACGACAGGCTGCCTGGGCCACTGTGTTCTAGTCTATTGACCTAGGGGCCTATCTGACACAGTCAAATCTCAAAAGTCCTGTCAGACCTACTGTACGGACGGACGTGCCGGTTGGGACCATAGTACATGGGACGTTGGGGCTCTGGGATTCTGGTACTTAGACATTAGGAGTCGTGAAATCCTTTCAGATTACCTCCAACCAGGAATACTAAGGGCATACTTGAAGAGTCTGAACAGGAATACATTAGGCGAAAGTGGCCACAAGCATACAGAGATACAACCAAAGAGGTCCTAGTGTGAATGCATATACCCTAACGGGGCCTAACGCGATGCTTTTACATGTTATCTGAGGTTGCAGCTCATATGCAACTCTGGCCCTGCTCATACTTAAAGCACCAGCACTGCCGAGCCTCTTTTTCCTAATGCCGATTTTTGCCGCACGCCAGTTTGATGAGCCGGCGCTGGTGCAAATCCGCGGCTTTTTGCCTGCTGCCGCCGACCTTCTCCATTTGGTAGACCGAGCGCTGCAGGACATGGAGTGTTAACTGCTGCATCCAGACAAAATAGCTGGGAAACGGACTGGTGGTTGCAATGCAGCAGGATAGGAGAACACCTCTTGTAAGCCTCCACCAAGTGTTGCATACAGAGGTGGAGGGTGAAGGAGGAGGAGGACGGGAGACAAGGAGGGGATGGCAGCCTAACACTAGTTGGACCTGCAGCTGAGTTCCAGTGTGATCAGTGACTTGCGCACTCTGAGAATGTATGTCATCCTTCCTTTTCTTTTCTTTTTTTTTCAATTTTATAGAATGTATATCATGCTGAATGTGTTTCGCTTGGAAAACTTGCAGTCAATGCAAGTAGAAATGCAGAATGCCCATGTGTGCTCTTTTGGCAGAATTCGTCTGCAAATGAAGTAGTAAATCTTATTCTTGTTTCTTTCAATCACTCACTGGCTATGATTGTGACACACCGTCTCTCACCATCATCCCCCTCCGTTCCCTTGCATCGGTTGTATTATTATGGGCCGATCTGTGTCTCTCCTCCCTTGCTTCTCAGCTGCTTGGCTGCTGCTACTACTCTCTCTCTCTCTCTCTCTCTCTCTCTCTCTCTCTCTCTCTCTCTCTCTCTCTC